TCTATTACCACAAATATTTGATGCATCTGGTATTCTGGTAGATGATGTTAGTCCCAATGTATGGATTGATATACTTGCTGCACAACGTGTATTTGCAGCTGGTATACGACATATTGTTATCATGCCAGTAGCAACACAGCAGGCTTTACCATATAATACAACACAAGCAAAAGCCATCTTACAAGACAAAAATATACATTTGAAACCATTTGTTTATAAATTAGTCATGAGTTTTGCTACATGTTTGAATGAACCGGAATCAGATTTACGTTGGTGGGATAATAGTGCTGCACAATTGATGGTACAATTACAACAAAAGAATACTAAACATGGATTTTGTACAAAATTTCTTTCAAATCAGCATCTAGAATTCATTCTATCCCCATTTGCTGGACAAAATTTTGGCTCTGAAGTTATCGATAATAAAGATCACTTGACAAATGTTCAAATATGTACAAAGGCAAATGATCAAATATTTTTAGAAACATTTCTTACAACAATTTCTGCGAAACATTCATGTCAATATTCAAATAAGTATAAAGATCGATATGATATTGTGTTGCAAAAAAAGCTATTGAAAAAGTAAAGCAACTAAATTTATATTAGAAATAACGAGATTATGTCCTTAGACTTAAAAGTAACTGTTATTCGTTGATATGGTTTGTCACAATAAGAACTGTAACTTTGTATCTTTTTTGGCATGTGGATAAAATTTATATTGTTCATTTTTCTCCTTCTCCTTAGTCATACTTTGAGAAAATCATTATAAGCGAAAATGTACAAGATGACACAGATTCATGAACCATCATCTGACTTGTCTTTTCCAGACTTCTAACTTCAAGGGTTCCAGTACAACATTACTAAACGGGCACATTGAGTAAAAAACATATTCTAAAAAATATATGATGTGAGGCAGAGTTAATCGCCGAGTTTATCGAAAAGTCGAACTTGTTTTGTAGTGAAAAACGATGAAAAATCACACGAAATTTGTTTTTCTCACCACTGGTTACTAATCAAGGCATGAGGAGTTCCAATGACTGTTTTTTCCGTTACTGTTGCTTGTATTAGCCTTTCAAGACTAACAGACCTTCACGAACAGGCAAACTCTTACAATGGTTCGGCACGGAGCCATTTCTACCGTACGAAATGTTTTTAGAACTTCGTATGATCCGTATGGTTTTGTGAGAGGAGAGTTTGGGCACTTAGTTCCGTTGCGAAAGCACCCAAGAAGAAATGGGTTTCAGGTGAGAATTAGAGCACACCTCTTCGTTATTCGAGATAAGTAAAATTTTTCAAATATTGACGAAATCTTCAAATATTCTTATTTCATATCCCAGTTATGAAGCATCGTACACATATAGCCTCTCAAGTTGAAAAGTGCACATTCTGGGCTACGACAATATATAAGAACATGGTTACCAACTAGCAGGAAAAGCGACACTATTTTTACAAGATAAATCACTTAATAATCCATTCGTAAAAATCACCGTTAAAAGTGAGGGTTGTATATATTTTTCAGAACTTTCATCATCAATTTTGAAAAATCGAAAACATAAAAATTAAAATCTCAAATAATGTCACTATTTTTGCGTCTTTTCTTTGTCTCTGTGTAAACAGTAACTCATTATAGATATCGATCAATTTGTATATATGATCATCATAACTTGTAAAAGTGAGGGTGGTTTTCCAGAGGTCCAAAGTTTTACGGACACTTTTAGGATTTTTCTCTCAAACCCAAATAAAACTCTTGACTACCGTAGATGGAAATATGGAGGCACATAAGCTGAAAAATTCTTTTGATTTTTATCAATTAAGATGTTTCCTTTTGAAAGGGATCAACCACTGTCACAAGTTGCTCTATTGATATTAGTAATGGTGATCCTTTTTTTTGGATCAATTAAATTGGTTTTTTCAAAAGGGATCGATTCAAGTCAATCTTCTTCAATCAATTTTCATGACTGATCCCTTTTAATATATATAATATGCATCTGTGTATCTGTACATAGAAACTAATCAAGTAGTTACAATATAGCCGCGAAGATTTCAATATGCGCATCGTGTAGAGCTACCAGGATTTACTGTTTTGGTACTTTTGACAGAAATACTGTGCAGGTCTAAAATACAAATTTTTATTCTTTTCTAGGTGTATATATTATAGCAAAAAATTAAAACAGTTCTCTTCCACTTATCTGTGCTTAATCTAATAATGTTTGTTTTTTCATGTCATGTCTGATATTATTAAGACAGATCTATTCTAAACTTGATTTCAAGTTTTTGAGAATTAGATAGGATACTAGAAGTTTCTTAGACTCGTGCACATAATTTAACAGTTTGTGATTGAAAGATGACAACGCGAGTATTGTGAAAATCGCCTTGAGTATACAACATACATCCACCACCGTGTCTATTACGATCAAGCCGAAAAGATCGATATCAAAATCCTTAATAGTCTGATCTATCCATGTTTCAGTGAGTGAAAGCATAATCGGCTGATTAATCGACACATACACACGGACGGCATCAATTTGTGGTACTAAACTCCTAATATTTATACTAGCAATCCTCAAATCAGCTGCTGTTGCCTCACTTATCGCCGTAGGGCGTCATTGTTTCGATTACTATTTATTTCATTTCCATCGAGCGACCATGAAGATAGAAAAAAAAGTAGGAAAGAGAAGGAAGTCATGATAAATATTCAAAGAGTAGAATGCAGATGAGTATGTATTATAGAACGAGAGGAAGCATTCTCACAGCTACGCGTATAACAATTTACTGATAAGACATAGAAGACCACTGCACAGAGCTAGAAAGGAGAAGAAATATTACGAATAATATAATAATCAAAATAACTAACCCTTTGGGTCCGGGTGACGAGAATTCTCGTCCTGATATTTTGCACTCTGAATAGCTTTCGTAAATATTACGTATTGATTATTCAATGAAATGAATGACCCAGCTTTGTCTGCTGATCTCAAATATGTTATTAGTTTTGCTTGAAAATATATGGGGAGTGAAAATGGTGCAAAGTAAATAAAATAAAGAAGGTTAGAGGGTAAATATGTAATCTTCCTGACAAAAGTTTCACCATGTTTTTCGGAACCATAGGTTTCCATAATTATGACATACATTCAATGCAAATACTATAGTACAAAGAGTGACCCTTAGTTCATCACTCTCGCTCTTCTACATATGTTTGAATCGTGGGCCCCCGTCCTCAATGAATTTTCAGAACCACACTATAGTTAACTTTCATACTTTGGCTGAATAATCTACAGACACTGTAGAGTCAGCGAATTTAAAGTCAAAATGATGCTCCTAGACGGAATTGTGAATTTTTTGCAAAGAATCTCGAATTTCCAACAAAAAAAAGCCAACCTCGCCAGTAAAACAGCTGTATTTCACTAACTCCTAACAGCCAACTCACGAAATTCATATCGTCGATAGAGTAGAGTCGTGCTGCATTTTTGTACAAAGAAAAGTTTTCATCTCTCTCAGGTCAGGACCTATTGATATTTTACGGAAAAGACATAAATTGCTTATATCTCATGAAATATCCAGTAAAAGAGTCCCAAAGTTGGTGGGTAATCAGCATTCGGTAAGAGCTATGACCCCACAGAATTAGAAGTCCCTAGCTACTATAGTTCTTGAGTTACAGGAATGTCGCTACTTTGAGGGATTATTTTTTGACAAAATAATCCCGGACTCAAAGGGCTAATAAAGTACTGGAAACATATCATACCTTATGAGTTAATCATTCAGTAATTAATGTCAGTGATTTGTCAGGATTACGAACAAAAATACGACCGTTTCTAGTAATAACTCGTTTTTTCTCATTATCTCGAAGTCGATCACGTGTACGATAGTACAGATTTAAAGCCAATGGTGTTAGATCTTCGACAATAGTGATATTTAGCTTTTTCCCTTTTAGTTGACCAAGAGACGATAATATATGTTGTCGAACGGGTCGAGAATGGAAGCGAACGATAACAGGTCGCGGTTTCGTTTGCTGTTGATTCGCAGTCGGTAGACGATGGCAATTTTCAATAATATCCACATTCATCTTGAGATCCATATGCGTATTGAGAAAATTCATCATACGACTTTTAACATGTTCATCTTTGCGCTCTTCAAAATCATAAAAACGTAAATTAAACGATCGATTGTAACGTTGTACATACTTTTCATCGCTTTCATTCAACCTTTTCACTCTCATATAGTAGCTTACTTTTACACTATAACAATATTTTCATGCAGTAGATTTCACATTTCCAATCAAAATTTCTTTTTATTCCAAATACATTGCTAAATGTATTCAATCATTCAACCAAAATACTTTTGATCAATGCATATAATACGCGACGAACATTGTCTAAGAATACCAAAATTGAAACCATTTCAACCGACCCAAAAATTCGATTCATGCTGCACCAATACCCGACCTCCTTGTTTAAAAAAATGTTTAAATGGCGTGATATTTGTCACAGATGATGAATTACAACATGTAGATAAACAACGGGATCTGTATCCAAAGATGTCATAGGATCCAGATACGGAACAAAGTAGTAGTTTAGCACATGGCCGACCTTGTTCAATATGGTGATCAGTTGATCGTCGAAAATGGCTTAGAGCTATTTGCACCAACAATATTTACGGATTATTATGTTGTGTTTGCGCACAATATTCAGCTGATAACATATCAGTCCAGCGTGTACATGGATCATTCGTTGTTAAACCATATTATAAACTAGGAAAAAAAGGAATTGCCGGCATTATGAGTCATGAAAAGAGCGAAATGCATAAAAAATCAATTGATATCTGAAACGGACAATTAACAAGAAATGGTAATAATACCATTGCTGCAATCCTTAATACAGTTAATATGACAGATACAACCAAAGATTATTTACGTGCACTAGCACGAACATTTTTATTTGTATTAAGTCAAGAATTTGCATTCTAATTTTTGAAGATCTCGTTAAACTTCAAGCATCGAATTTGTCAAAACCAATTACTACCTGGTTGTCAGTAGCTAACAACAAACAATTATACTGGAGTGGTGAAAGTCGATCGGAATGGTTATTAAGTATAATATCATGGATTTGGAAACAGCAGTTAGATGAATTAGAAAATACGAGTTATTTATGTGTTTTATTAGATGAGACAACTGATGTTAGCAATATTAAACAACTCGTAATCTGTCTTCGATTTTTTAATACCAAAACAGCCAGAATTGTCGAACAAATGTTTAAATTGGTCCCTATTGAATCTCAAACAGGAGAAGTATAAACAAAAGTTTTGATAAAACTTTGTAGCTACTGACAAACGCCTAGTAATCGGTGACAAGTTCAATGAGACCTTGCAATCTAAATAACAGAAAGTAGTGCAATACTGCTCTTTCAACACGAGATACGCTAATTAGCGCTTTTTGAATAACTCATAAAGAAAAAGGAAATTCATAACTCAGTCAAAACCGATCCAGGCTACCTGGGAATGTCAAGATACACTCGATTTTATCTACTGAATGAGATTCTGTAGGTGAGTGTAGAATAAAATATTCTCTTACCTTCCAAGGTTTCTAGAAAACTTTTCGAAAAACCCAAGTATTTGATGTTACTTTGAAGACACTGGAAATCGCAGGTCTTCATCTTGTTCCGTTAAAAAGTGATAGAAAAATGACCGCGGCCACTATCCATTTGGACACATAATAAGAAAAATAAAAGGAGTAAAAATAAAGGAGTAAAGAGAGTAAAATGACTAAAGGGAGTAAGAGGCTGAAGGCAGTAAAACACTTAAGGCCTCACCCCCCCCTCTAAAAAGTCGATTTTCGTCAAAAAAATGATTTTTGAGATAGGTATACGGGCACGTCGCCTGAGATGTCTACTTCACAAATATGTAAAAATATTATTGAATCTCGACGATTTTTAACGAGTTTTTTAGAAAATTCTGCAGCTCTCTGAGACACGAGACACGCTAATTAGCGCCTGTTTGAATAACTGAAAGACGATAAAAGATAGAGATTTGCAGTTTTCAGTAATCGAAATAAAATAGTTTTGGCTATGTTTTCTTAAGCAAAATCTTTTTCGAAAAGTATTCGGAAGATCGGTTTTCTAGGAGATCTTTAGAAAACCAGTTTAGATTTTCGGATACTGAGATAGCAATCAGTAAGTTTTTTTCCATAGGCACATAGTCCAAATGCGAACCAAGCGAACCCTCAATTTTTCCTGGTTCAGGTGTGGCATCCCAGTTCCTGAGAGTCCCAGGTCAATATTTCTTTAGGTGTGGTAATTCTGAAAACGAATAGAAGCATAGGTAATCAACCACGCTAAATCTCGTGGCAACATTTATTTCTCAAAAAAGTTTCAAAGGGCTAGTGAAAACCTATATTAGGTGAAATAACACATTTTTGCCTATTTTTGAGCAAAATTAAAAAATTCATAACTCAGTCAAAATCCATCCAAATTATGCCAGACTATCAAGATGTGCTCTATGTTACCTGCTCAATGTGATTTTTTACTTAAGAATAGTAAAGAATATTGTTGCAGTTCGGTAGGTTTCTAGAAAACGTTTTTAAAACCCAAAGTATTTTCTGTTGGTTTGTATAGCTTTTATTGAACTCCATAGCATTGAGTAGGTAACATAGTCTCAGGAAAAGCTCGCTTCTGCCCGAACCAGCTGTCTCTCGATCTCAGATTATTTTCAAACATTAGACTTGTGTGAAAAGTTAGGGAGCGGCAATCTTGCCTTTAGAAGATTGATCAGGCGCACCATGATAGACCCCATTGGTAGGATTGATTTATACATAGGAAGATGCTGTCAGGTCCTGGCTACAAGACACTGGAAATCGCAGGTCTTCATCTTGTTTCGTTAAAAAGTTATAGAAAAATGACCGCGGCCACTATTCATTTGGACAGATAATAAGAAAAGTAAAAGAAGTAAAGAGAGTAAAAGGAGTTAAAGACTAAAAGTAGTAAAGGCAGCAAAAAACTACAATAAGTTACCTGTCAGTATAACTTTTCTCTAGCTAAAAACATCTCGACAAACTTTGTACCTTCTCCCATCGCTGACTAAAACGAGACAATGACTTTGAGAATTCTCACGTCAGACAAGGGAATTTTCTCAGTCCTATAACGTTGATAGGCGTAAAAGTTATTTAAAAATTCTCAGAGAAATTCAACGAAAAGCCAAAAAAATATACTTAGCAGTGATTCCAATAGTGATCAGTTGTTTTTATGTCAATGTATATTTAATAGGCACTGGTGAAACAGAACAGGATTCTTTGCTAGAGATAAGACACATCTTACTTTGACACATGTTTCTACAGTCAGCAGAAGAGCTTTGCTAGAGACTACGAGTATACAGCGCTAGTCGAGGCGTCAATGACCGGTACAAGACGCTTGTTTAGCTGGAGATAACATATATGAAGCTAGGGACGTAACATTTAATACATTGTCAAGACTTGACCACTCTGTTTGATCTAGGTAGGATTATAATTTACTTGAATAAGTTATCTTCAGTAGAAGTAAGGTGCTCCAAATTCAAACGTCGAGCACTATATTATTTTTCGCTCAAATATACCTCATTCGATGCAGAATTTTGCACTGATCACGAATATGTTAGTTAAAAAATTTTTAGTATGCGTTTTTACTGAGAAAAATTAAAAAATTGGACGACTCCATTTTTCCAAAAAATCGCAAAATTCCGAAAAACATGCGATATCTCGACTTCACAAAGTCGTGAAACCTTCGGAATATGTTTTTCGGAATCATCGTGAAAAACTCCATATCATAGACTATCTCTGAAGGTTCAGCAGGTGTAAAAAGTGCTCCCCTCCTCGTCATACTTTAAAGGTCTCAAATTAGATATTCACCGCTTGCAAGCCTATCGGCGCCATCAGGTCGAGAGATAGACCCTTCATTCTTACGCCATTAGAACCGCCATCAAACGTAAAACAAAGTTATAGAGCCACTTTTTTGAATTTCTGCTTTTTTGCTGAGATATTATTTTTTTTCAAAACGAACGCTTTTTCACCTATAATCGGCCAAGTGATTTTTTTCTTAGTTTCTTATTTTTCAACAGAATTCACTCAAATTAGCAGAGTATAGATAAAAAAGCATTCTGAACCCAATGGTAAGGTTTCCAGGATCTCCATAGGGTTTCTAGAAGGTTTCTGAAAAACTTTCAGGATTGATTATTTCAATATTTCAGAAATGCTAAAGAAAAAATAGAAACAACAACAAATATAAAAGTAGAAACTACTTGTCCAAATTAGTGTTCACGATTTTTCGATGAGAAATAATATTGTCTTTGTATAAACTTGAAAAAAACATTTGCAATACTTGTTTGTAATCTTTACCATCATTGTATGCTATTAATGTTGTCCAGAATCTTCTACATAATTTTAAATATATTTGACGAGCTTCAAAATTTTTTCTTGCTTCACCAATTAATGATACCATCTTGTGGAATGTTTGATCATTGTGTTTGCGAACAAATTGTTTCATATGACACCAATAACCTTCAATAGGATTTAATTCACAATGATATTTTGGCACATATAACACTTGAATTCCATACTGCATCCCTAATTTTTCTAATTTTGTAACATTTTGGAATGCTGGATGTTGGCTAACTAATTCTTTTAATTGTTGAAGTTTGCAATTTAACGGTACCTTCAATCCCAAGTTCAATGCAATGTTGAGTAATCCACGTGATTTTCCTTTGTTCTCACCATCTGTAAAATAACAATTGATTGTTTTTCGTTGATTTGTAGCTGGATCTAAATATTCAATTGATTGAACTGGACACCGGGTACCTGGTTTCATATTAAAATCATTAACACTAAATTTCTTGCTAGTATGAGTTCTTGCATTATCCACTAACACTTCAATAGTATGCGTCTTGTATTCTTCTTTGAACTGTAACATTTGAAATAATCGTTCAAATTGTTCTAAAATCAATTCGTTGTCCATATATAAATCACTTCCAATATTTATTGCTGCTGATGCCGAAAATTTTTCATAAATAATATCTACTTCTTCCAATAATTTTGGATATCGTTGAGTTGCTTGATTCCATTCAGCTGGACTTAATTGAAAATAAGGTGACGATGGATGGATGACCAAAAAATCGGAAATCATGTAGCTTCGGCCACGACCTTTGCTAAAAAAGGGTGCCGAATCATCGATCACCCATCTACGCGCATTAACCTCTCCACTACGAAAGGTAGATTCATCGTGACCTGAAAAAATTTGAAAAAAAAACAAGAGCAAAAATAAAAATAAAATAAAAAGTTGAAGGAGAAAAAACAAGTTTTTTAACTTACAAATCAAAACTCTGGGCTTTGGTGCTGTTGGCTGGAGCCATTTTGGCACTTCCTCATCGTTCAATAAATAATATTCAGTTTTGTTGGATAAAAAATGATCAATAAATTCTTTTCGATGTTGTTGGACGTCTGGTCTTTCGTGGCCCTCAAAATACGGACGATTTTTGTTGGCTTCATTTCTTCCTCCCCATCGTCTAATATCGATTCTGTACATTTCAATTGATCTAATTAATTGTTGTGCTGTTTTTTGTAATCCATTAATTTCATAAAGACGATCGTCCAGAAATTTGGCTAATGATTCGACGGTAAAACTGCTAGCTTTTTTGGAACATTCATCAACGACAAATGCCCTTGCTTCCAACTCCAATTCAGGATATACGTCAAAAAAACTCTGTGTTCGTTGTCCACCGCGATTTTCACCTATAAATTCTTCAAAATCACCATCCAAAAATAAATCGGCCCACTTATGTGCAGTTTCACATTTCATTGATCCAATTGTATCCAAAATCTCATCTGTTTTTCTCCAGCTGTATTCAAGATGACGTAACAACATATAAATCATTGTTAATAAGTATTTTCGGCTTCCTTCTTGTGTGCATAATGTGAATAAATCGCCGATATCAGATAAAACTTTCTTTTTCGTGAATTTAATTGGTTCTGGACCTGAATATACTTCTTCTTCACTTGTTGATGAATCTGGTTGTTGTTGTGTTGTTGTGGCTTGAAAATTTCCTGTTGACCATCTCTTACTCAAAACAACTTTTGAGTGTGCTTTTCTTTTGGTTGGCGGTGCCATTTCACAAGAATTAACGAAATTGTTATGAATTATAAAGTTAGAACATAATTAAAAAGAGAAAAGTTTTCTAAATGAGCATCCCTCTGGTATATTTATACATTTTTTCTCTCACAGCAAGCGGCTAGAACCAGACAAAGACGACATCAATATCAGACACTGGTCAATATCAGCTAGTAATAGCATAGCGCAAGGTGTGGCGCTTCTACAAGGTACTCTGCAGGCTTATATTCGAATCCGTCTTCTTTTGTTAGCAGCCGCGCGAAGTTTTTTAGAAACCTTCTAGAAACCCTATGGAGATCCTGGAAACCTTACCATTGGGTTCAGAATGCTTTTTTATCTATACTCTGCTAATTTGAGTGAATTCTGTTGAAAAATAAGAAACTAAGAAAAAAATCACTTGGCCGATTATAGGTGAAAAAGCGTTCGTTTTGAAAAAAAATAATATCTCAGCAAAAAAACAGAAATTCAAAAAAGTGGCTCTGTAACTTTGTTTTACGTTTGATGGCGGTTCTGGATTCTCCATCTGAAACTTATGATCTAGTCTTCTCTCGGTGCGCTCGAGATTAGGATCTACAACTTTCATGACTTATAGAGTAAGTTGAGTGCTACCAGAAATCATTGGCAAAATTTATTTAGATAGTTTTCCAAAGACTTGGTTTGACAGGAGGATCTCCAAAAAATCTCTTCATCCTAAAATTCTGAAATAAGTTCAAAAAGATAGAGCATAAAATTCTCTACAAAATGAGATGTCTTCCGACTGTGTGCGATGTTTTCTTCTTGATAGATGAATTCTGTAATACTCCATCTGTTTTGTTCACAGGTTTGCTGGAAGCAAAAATATCGAAATCATCTCTTGTTCTTCGAAACGCTACATTCTCATAACAAAGCATCTTACACAGTCAGGAGATATCTCATTTTGTAGAGAATTTCATGCTCTATCTTTCTGAATTTATTTCAGGATTTTTTTTGGATGAAGAGATTTTTTGGAGATCCTCCTGTAAAAGCAAGTCTTTGGAAAACTATCTAAACAAATTTTGCCCCAAATTTTGACAATGATTTCTGATTTTGGTGAAATGTTTAGGTAAAAACTTCATCGTAAGATGACATCCATATCTGCATTTTTAACAAGTTTTATTTAATCTTTTTCTAGTTGCATATAGGTGATGAAAACTGGTCAAAGTTCCACGTAAATCGGTGATAGTCACGCCGTCGAGCTGCCTCACTCTCTCAGATTATGGCTCTTAAAGTTAGAGATGCGTACATTAACGTAAAGACATACACGTGTAAATTCACACTAAGGAACGTGAACGTACTTTCTGACTTAAAAACTCATTTGACTTTTATATTGGTGTAGATACCTACTTTTTCATATGATCAGCTGTGATGTTGACAGCCTTATAACTCAAAAACTAGACGGTACCTTTTTCTAAAAAATGGCTTGGCATAGAGTACAAGCTGTATACTTGAAACTGCCAGAAAAACTGGAGAGGGGTACTTGCCAAATTTGTTAACCTTTTAATCACGGAAGTTGCGAGAAAATAGATAAAATGTGACACAACTAGAGTGAAATGGTGAAACATGCTCTTTTCTGCAGATCTTTGCGACACCTCTTTTTGAAAACGCTATGACTCAGCCAAATCAAGTCCAAAGGGACTAAAAAGTTTTTCATAACCCCAGTTTTCATAGTAGAATATGCAAGAAAAAATGCGGGTCAATCCTAACCATGTTATGGCCTTCCTCGATGGACTCACAAAACCTTTCTTAACACCTGTTATGAAAAGATGCTCCAAGGTCTCTTCTTTTGAATAGTGAAACTCGAACTCTCTTGCTCTTTTTGTTCTTGAGATATTCAAAAAGAGTCAGAGACATTGTATTTTTTAAACGAAGAAGTCGATGAATTTTTATGTGATTTTTGTTTTTAGTGTTAGTTCTGGCTCGATGTGAATGAAACGATTGGAACTGTAACATCACCATACATCTTCATTTTACCATGCTTGCTCATCAGTCTGCTAATAATGTTTTAGTCGTGTCGGAGCATATGCTGATAATTCACATATAATAAAATTAAACCTTAATTCCGATAAAGTGGGCTGTTATGCGGACAGGTTGTATGCTGAACTTAGTCATTGGATGTGTATATCAATGGTGACTGAGCCTCTTGGACATGAATACAATGAGCAAGTCAGTAAATGTAAAACATAGAATCCGTGTCTATGTGCACATCGGCACGAATGTTTGATAGTTACTATCCATAGATAATAGCCATAACGTTACATCCAACGAAGAGCTTTGTAAAGCTGATATGAACATGCGCAAAGTTTGAAATTGTACGTCATGCATGACTGCAATAGACAAAAAACACCAGAAGATGGCAGAATCGGCAATCAAAAATATTAGTTTCTACCATTCTGTCGAGTTCAAGAAAACGGGGATGCGTTTCCAGTAATAGTATGGAGAGGGGATCAATAGAAGCTGTCCCTATTCTAAACTGCTGTTTTGACTCGGTATAGAAGAAATACAAGAGATGATCGCTTCAAAGCGGATTTGCTCGACAGACCCTCTCTCGTTTGTCGGTACATACCAGTCTTGGGCTTTTGTTCGTATTCGTGTGATCGAGTGCTTTCCCACTCACCGCAAAAAGTAGAATTCTGTAGTCGGTCTAATGTAAACTACAATTGTAAATTGGTGCATTAATTATATTTATTATTCTCAACATTACTACTTTTAATACGTTAGACATAGGTGAAAAAAACAAGAACTACAACAACCATAATTAAGATGTCAGGAAGAGTAATGATTGAAAACAGTGAATACTGTCAAGACTGATAAATCATCAATAAGTAAAGCTAGTTTGCGAAAAAATTATTGCTTTTAGTTATTGACGCATAGGACGGACAATTGGAGACATGATGGAGCAAATGAAACTTAGCAACTTTCAAAAATCTTACTTTGCAACAACGCAACTAAGGGGAGACAAATGTTCGGACTATTTTAAACTTCGTTTGATGCGAATTTTTCCATCTTAGTATTTATCCCATTCAGTTTTCAAAAAACTTTGTTATCAAAGCTCGCATGAAAGCTACTTCAACAATATGTAAGAAAAAACCAAAATTTTCAGGTTAGACACTTATACTTCTATTCTGTTATGTGTAGGGTTGTCGATTCCGAGGCCTAGAGTATCCGATGCCCTCGAGAAAACTTCCGAGCCATCGAACAGAAATGTTTGGGAGGGCTGGAATTTTTCTCAATGTTTCGTTACCCATCGAAAACTCGAGGCCTCGGAAGCCATAACCCCTCGAACGCTTATATAGGCTGAGGTCTCATATTTCGACGGGACAAGCTCTCAGCGAGGATCCACCGAAAACATATTTTCGAGTACTCGAAATACCCTTCCAACAAGTGGTTGGTATGAGATCGGTATTTTTAAAGAAAAGAGAGATGTAAGATGCACCTAGCTTATACATTTTAAAACAGACACACATAATTAGTCCCATGAAAAATGTTTTGCTAATCATAAAACATTATGGTTGTTCTTGCTCATATTATTGTAGAATGAAGCGAAGAAAAGAAGAGACGATAATATAGAGATATAAATACCATATCGTATCGTTATAAAGGTGTCTGTTGAAGATCTAATACGGATAAAAACCGTTTTTCATTTTTTAAATGTATTGTATTTATAACTGTACTCTCTCTATCATGTATCTACAATAGAATGAATCTCATAAATCTATATGAATATACAACATAATAAGTTTTCTTTATTGCATAAAATAGACATGCTCATGATAATATTATACCAATATAACCCATTTTATCATCAACGGATGTAAATAGTTTACGTTTTAAACTAAATAATTGCATTAATCTTATACACCGTTATGTATCGATTCATATAACGTTTATATAACAATGTATTATTCTTTTTCTCAAGAGTTTCATTTCACTGAAATAACATTTATTTACAATATGTTTACCATCGTTCATTCTTTTCTGTTCGTCGTGTTACTCTTGTCATTTCTTGCGTTAATCCTCTTTCCATCAATTGGTGTTCAAGCATATTACTATTAAATAGTCGTTTTTCAATTAAACTTAATATTTTATAAAATTCTGAACGATATGTTTTAGCCGAGAGTGTGTTTACATAAAATCCTTGAATAAAACTTAAATAAATAAGAAATATGGAACATCCTGTTATAAAACTTATGATAGGTGAAGGTGGTATAAATGTTGCATAAGAAATTAGAATTGATCCGGGTACTAAGAGAATAACATGAATGAGCACTTGAACGAGTAATAAACGAATTATTTGTCTATCACGTTGATGATGGCGTTCACTCGTCGTTGACGAAGTAACCGATTGATTGATTTGTCGACGAAGACGTTGAACATTTCTCAATGTAAGAAGACCAAACACAGTCATAAGTAAAGGCTGAAAACTCGAGTAAAAAATCATATGGAAGACAATAAAAAACTGATTGTATCCACCTTGACAGTAACAAAATTCTATAAAATCATTTTCACTAATTGGTGTACGAATTATTTTGAAATAAATGGGAACATGAATATAGCATATAAAACAAATTATAATATTTAAAGATATTGTAAACAGAGTTACTTTTCTCTGACTAAATTTTCTCCATCGAGCTTGAGATGATGATGCAGCAAATCTATCAATACAAGCGAAAACAATAAACGTTGATGATACTAGAGGGAATGTGTATTGAATGTATGATATTAATTTACACACAGACTCTGATACAATTGTTGGATCAATTCCAAAACCATCGATTAAAAGACGAAATAACACTGCACAATATAGAACAACACAATTACTCACGGATGATGCTAGCAGATATATTGAACAAGAATATTGACGAAGAGTTACTCGTGTAAATATAAGAATATTAAATATATTACCAAATGTTCCAAGAATGATAATTGGTATTAGAATAGCACGATGTAAATATTGTAAAACTGTGTCAAGACTAGCCATTTCGTATTTTGTAATCAAAAATGAAAATATTGCTTGTATATTAAAGAGTATGGAAAATAGCAGGTTCCGAAGCAGAGATTTGAATATCAGTTAGATTTATTGAAAGATTATATACTAATTTAATTAATAGAAATTATGAGAAAAAAACAGAAATAGAGCTTTTAGAATAATTGAAAATAAAATAATCGTCTGTTGCACAATGTCGATTGTCGCTTCTAGGTTCCTGGAGGGACTATATAAAAATTTTCATTCGCTCTGATATCGTCAGTTGTTTGTTGTTCTCGCTGGTAATTATACTAAAAACCCTATTTCCGTTTTCCTCACAGGTTTGACTATTAATTAAATTAGTACATAATCTTTCAATAAGTCTAACTGATATTCAAATCTCTGCCTCTGAACCTGCTATTTTTCATACTCTTTATGAACAAGCAATATTTTCTTTCTATTTTTACAATATTTTCAGTTTAGAGTAAGACGCTCCAAATTCAAATGTAAAGCACTATTTTATTTGTGACTTAAAGATACACCATTCGATGCAGTTTTTCACGCTGATCACAAACATCTTACTTTTTGTCCGCCTAGCCTACGTTTTCAACGAAAAAAATCCAATATATTGGGGGGTCCATTTTTTTGAAAGACGACGACTTTTCAAAAATCAGATAATATCTCAGTCCCACGTGGCTTTGAAACTTTTCAAAAGTATTTTTCGAAATCAGCGTGATAAACTGCATACAGAGACGTGTATTTAAAGGTTCCATAGCCACGAGAAGTGTTCAATCTCTCGTCAAACTTTGGAGGGCTCCGATTTTCACCCTATTCGCTCACCAACCTATTTAGTTTTTTCTGTAAAGAGATGGAGCCTTGATTCTGACGCCATCTCACTTCGTTGGATCTCACTTCATATGATTATGTTTTCTATTTCCGATGCATGTATCATGCAATAAAATTTATTTAATGTCTATCAATACAAATGCATATATCATTCATTCATGGAGATATTTTTCAACGAAACCAGTTCCACTACAGTGAAAAAACGAAAAAAATTACATAGTATAGTATTACCACAGAAAACAGTTATATTTATCAATAAAATCTCGTCGCACAAAATAAGACTACAAGACAATTACAAGAAAAATCTCTTTTTACTATTAAATCTAGCCATAACAAACAAACTGATGTAAGTGAAGTTGTATTGTGCAATAAAATATCGTACGAGTTCAGTTTTGAGCCCGCTAAATGCTGTAGTAATTGGTTCTAATACCAAAGAAGAATTTGGAACAAAATGTTTCAATGAAAGGACTATATATGTATTATGAGCGCGTTTTTCGATTGTATTTGATATCAAAGTTTTGTGCAGGTACAATTAGTTTTGTACTTGATGATGATTGCTTCTGTCAAGAATAAAAACTCCAAGATTTCCAATATTGGTTTGTAAGCCCGTAGATATGTTACATCAAAAACATAAAATACGTATACCAGCGTCGATAATTCAGCGAAATATCGTCCTTTTCTTCGTCAAAGTCTATTAGTACTTCGTCCCCCAAAATGTAAGATAAACGTAATTACATTGAGGATGAACGACGTTATATAATAACGGGCATAGATCTTTCTTTTCTATCAATGATTCTAAATCTATATCTGTAGCATCATCTTCAACCTAGAATAAGTCATAAGATCTACAAACTATCGTCTTTAAAAGATAAAATGCTGTCAGACAAGGTAAAGAAATAACGTGAATCAGATCGATTACTCTGTCCATTGACTGTAAATCGACTTTATTGTAGCACAACTAAGGACAATTCAACTGCACAACAACTTCCCACAGCCACCCGAGCTTATTTTATTTTTCATATACTACTTCATAGACACTACACCACAATGTCTACTGTCTACTTGAGAACCGATCTTTTGCAGATTGCGTATCGTTCGAAGTTCATCACTCCCATAGCTATGAGTATCTAACTTACATACCCAAGTCCGTGCATTTAAAAAAGGACAGAATAACGGAAACCAAGTCAAAATACATCTCGACCAGCACGTTTTTTCCTAAACCTGGCTCGAAGTCATTATTTTACTCCGCTCAGTATCGCGACAACCGAATGCATTGACAAATTAAACCATCTTATAGGATCACATTTTTAATATACTGCTCCACAAACGTAGCAACACGGTGTGACCAAAACTTTTCCTCAAAGTTTATTTTATTCCTGAATACTATTCAGAACAATGCATGCAAATAAAACTGTGTCATCAACAGATGGTCTCACACTACAACGTTATATAAACAAAAGAAATTCACTCTTATCCAAACAAAAAGAAAAACACCAAATAAAAACAAGGACCACTTTGTTTTCGATATCACGCTGCGTATATATATATATATTTCGAATGGTGTGTGTGTGTGTAGTTGTAGGAAGTGATAAGATAAATCAATATGAGGAATATGATGTAGAATCGTTCTCTTACGGGTGACGTCAGCAGTGATGAGATAAATGAATATGATAGAAGAGAATGAGAAGGATAGACTTCTTGAGGAGAATAGCGGACATCCGTTACACACTGTCTCTACCAAATTAAGACTCGATGATCTGAAGCTTCCAGCTCGGGAACCGGTTAACTAGTGGTCTAGTTATCGTTGTACTACCAGTCAAAAGTAACGCTCGTCTGCAGACAGCGGCGTATCCTGGGGGGGAGGGGGCAAATGCAATTGTCCATTTCATTTGGAGATTTGCCCATTGAAATTTTACTTGGCAGATATACCCATGCAGTTTTTTTCAACGTTCAGAAAGATATATGTGAGAGAGTGGATAGACAAAATTGTTTGTTTAGTTTTGAATTAAATAGTAAATGTACTTTTTTCTTCCGTCTGAATTCCGTCTGAATATTTGATTAAAAGAACCTCATTTCAGTTTTTTGTGGTCTTTTTGGACCAAAAATGTTTTGGTCCATCAAGAAAAACCTTGCCATTTCGCCCATCGTTTTTTTCCGACAAATAGAAGTTTGCCCATTGGTCTAAAAATGCTGATTACGCCGCTGTCTGCAGAGTGGCAGTTTTTCACACTATTGATCATTCCCCGCACATACACACTCGCTCGGCCCCTTGGTTGTAGAAACTTATATCTGTGAATGACCCTCCACAACTCTGAATCAAAGACAACGCTCACACCTCCCTTCGGCCGGCGGACTATTCACAATATGTTATCGAATGTGTGCATGTACGTCCTGCACGCTACTATCTCTGTGTATGTACATCGGTCACCCAATGTTCATACTGTATACGGACAAACACACACACAATTTATTTCGCATGACCATAGACTTACCAGTAATACGCAGCACACGCTGCACATGTTCCTTGGCTGAAACTTTTAGTATTCCTAAGCTGATAATAGGGTTTCTGGAAAACCCGACTGCTGAAAAACCAAGTCCCTGGTTTTTGGTCAGAAAATTTTGAAACCTATATGGTCTGATAGAGCATAGAATTCTGAGGAATATAAGATATCTCCCGGCTGTGTGTAACGCTTTTTAAGCAGAGTCTTTTAGAAATTTTCACGCCATTTGTAGCCATTCACAAATCTACTGCAGTTGCGTGAGACAGCGTTACATACAGCCGAGAGATATCTTATATTCCTCAGAATTCTATGCTCTATCAGACCATATAGGTTTCAAAATTTTCCGACCAAAAACCAGGGACTTGGTTTTTCAGCAGTCAGGTTTTCCAGAAACCCTATTATCAGCTTTCCTCATGAAACGGCGATATGCATCTCATCTGATAGAAAAATCTTCGGGCTACTCAAAACAGTATTTCGATTGGCTCCAGCTTTTAATAAAAGTACAGAAAACTAGAAGTTATTGAGCTTATGACACACTGGACTGCATAGATAACATCCAAACGCTTGACTGACCGCATCTGTCTCGATATAAAACAGGTCTAAATTATATCGGTGTGATATAAAAGCTAAGCGTACCTTTTTGGCGTAGAGTACAACTTGTATACTTCAAACTGCGAGAAAAACTGGAGAAGGATACCTTCAAATTTGTTAAGTTTTATGGAATTATCTAATTATGAAACAATAGCACAACAAGAATTTGTTCAATTAACGACAATTCTTCTTCGAATTCAATTAGCAAGTGTATCAGTTCGAAAAGTTCTTCTTGATCTAATAACAAACACATATAGTGTAGATAAAATAACAGCACTTATGCAAACTATTTTACATATTTGTTAAAGATATTCTCTCTCTCTCTCGTCCTTCCTCTTTGCTACTTGTTAGTGTTCCAGTCTGCATATGAATGACGCTGGGGATACCTATTGTTCATCTGGTACAGGACACTTTATACGATCATGCTGAAAATTTTACGAGAGAAACTTCAAGATATCCTCAAGAGGATGTTTTGTTGGTTTTAAAAGTTAAATAATAGAGTATCCTCAGGAAACCATTAGGTATTTTTTACACCAAATAAAAGTTAATCGATGATATCAAAAGGTATTTTTCATGAAATTTTTAATCCGGTCGGACATGCCGTTTCTGAGTTCTAGAAAATGTCGACAAATAGCGAGAGTATCCTTAAATCTATATTTTTCACAGAAAGAATTTCATTCTGTCTTTTATTTTATTGAAATTATTATAATAAAATATAGAAACCAAAAAAGGGGAGTTTAATTTTTTAAAGGTGCTGAATTTTTAAATGACATATGAGCAAATTTTTCTGGAATACGACCTCCACATATATCTGCATTTTCACAAGTTTCTCGAATTTCTCTTATTTCTTCTTTTGTTAATTTCACATTTGCTGCATCTGCATTTTCTTCTAAATTTTTGATTTTTGTTGTACCTGGTATAACAATAAATTCTTCACCTTGTGCAAGTATCCATGCTAATATTAATTGACTTGTTGTACAATTCTTTTTCTTTGCAATTTTATTCAATAGTTCTACTACCAGAAGATTTTTTGGAAGATTTTCTTTTGAAAATCTTGGTAATATTCGACGTATATCATTTGCTTTAAAATCATCAGGACTTTTGATTTGTCCAGTTAATATTCCACGACCTAATGGTGAATAACAAACAATTGTTATTCCAAGTTCTTGACAAGTTTTTAAAATACCAATTTCTGGCTTTTCAATATCTAAACTAAATGGTGAATATTCAATTTGTACAGCAGATATTGGATGAATTTTTGATGCACGTCGAATTGTATCACTTGAACATTCTGATAAACCAATATATTTGATTTTACCTTGTTGAACAAGTTCTTTTAAAGCAGTCATTGCTTCTTCAATTGGAACTTTTGAATCAATTGAATGAACATAATAAAGATCAACATAATCAAGTTGAAGACGATTTAAACTTTTTTCAATAGCTTGACGAACATATTCAGCATCATTTCGAGCGTAGAATGATTTATCTGGATTTATAACCAATGCAAATTTTGTTGCGAGAAATACCTAAATTATTTAAAATGATTATGATAAACAAAAAAAATCTCAAATATATTGAAAAACTAACCTTTTGACGTTGTTGAGGATATTTTTTAAAATATTTTCCCAATAAATCTTCACTGTCACCATAAATATCAGCAGTATCGAAATGAGTACATTCAAGTTCAATAGCTCGTTCAAGAATTTTGAAACGTTCTTCATCAGAAGAAGGTGTTCCATAAGATCCTGATAAACCCATCATACCAAAACCAATAGCTGATACTGATGGACCATTTTTTACCTAACTGACGTTTAGGTACTAATCGTTGACTACACATTTTTGCTTTAACAGAGAGAGAAAGAGAAAAATAGAAAATGGTTTGTAATGAATATTATCAGTGAAATCTTCTCACTATATATACTCCTAAAGAACACATATAATCAAGAAACAAAAACAAGCTGCACGACATCGTACTTTGTAGAAAGAAAAGAGTGGACGACAGAATACTATGTAGATAAGAATAAGTAAGTGAACGACATCGTATTGTGTCGAAAAGAACAAAGTCAACGCAATCGTACTAGATAGGAAAGAAAAAGAGTCACGTCATATGAGGTAAAATAAAACAAATAAT